TAGGAAGCTATAGGAATGGTTCAGGTGAGAGGTGATAAGGGCCTGAACTACAATAAGACAATTCATGAAAACACATTATAATACTAATATATTCACAGAAAGCCTTTATTGCCTTCTTCAATGCTAAAAAAAAAACCCCAAAATGAATAAGAATTGAAAGATTTTGCTTTAACAAAATTATTTTAAATCAAGAGCTAGCATTATATGTAATAGACAAAGGTTGAAGATATTCCCCCCCCAAAAAGACATAAAACAACTACTATAAGACATAGTTTTGAAAATGTTTATTATGTGAATAAGTAAGAAAGATGAAGGGAATAAGCATTGGAATATAAGTTAGAAAATTCCTATAAGCAGAGACCATGATTATAACTTTAGAAAATAAAAGAGAAATAATAACTAATTGTCATAATTGTATTTGTATTTGCAGTGCCTAGTGCATAGTAGGTGCTTAAATAATACGTTGCTTGTTCATTTGATTGATCCCTTTAGTAAGATAGCATGACATACATTGTCAGTATTTTTGTTGTTTTTCATTCTGACCTTAATGAATACCAAATAAAATGAGGATTTCCATACATATAATAGAACAACAAAAAATGTCTTACATGAAACTGCAAATTTCCAATATGTCTCTTCTTTTAAGTCTATAATCAAGTCAACATGTAACTTTCAAAAGTGTCCTGCTTTCTAGGTATTTTTGTATATCATTGAGAAAACGCTAAAAAAATTGTTATAAGGATAAATACGATTGAAGTAATAACAAAACATATTGACTACAGAAGCATTAGCCTACCAAGGCCTATGCTGGGCCTATAAAAGGAGACTACAAAACAGTTTTGACATAAGTAATTAAATAATTTTATGGTTAGTACAAGCACATGACTAGGTAATGTTATTATAGTAAAAAGGTGAATATAGCCTAAATTAATTTATAGATTCAGTGTGTAACAATGAAAATACCAATGAGCTACTTTAATTAAACTATAATAACACATATGGAAAATAGGCAAGAATATTAAGAAAAACTAGGAAAAAACTGATGAAAGGGGACATGTATTGTTAGATCTCAAATTATCTCCCAAAGTGCCAACTATCAAAATTATCTGGTAGAAGATTAAAAAAAAAGAAAAATAAAAATAGTTCATTGGAACAGAAGAGAAAATCCAAAATTACAGCTTCAAATATGTAAAAATTACTGTTTAATAAACCAAGCTTACAAAACACTGTGGAAAAAATTAATTTAAAAATTTTGGAGAAAATTGGATGCAAAAATTGTGTTTAGACCTCCATTATATACCATACCATAATACCACAATAAGTATCAATTTGGTCAATAATAAAACAATTTTAAAAACATATTAGAGTGGGAATTGAAAGAATGATAGAGATTTGTGTCAGTTGTGAAAAGAAAGAAAATTGTTATGTATAAAGCAAAATAAATTATTAAGAACAAAATCAATTCTAGAATATAAAAGTAAAAGGTCTTTAACAAAATATTATGTTTCTATCAAAAATATAAAAACAAGAAATAGGCTGAAGAAAATCTTTAAGGTTAATATAGCTGATAAAAATCTGACACCTGACATCTCCAGAGAACTGACATGAAATTGGTTAAGACCAATAGCCTTCCTTAGGCCCCAGAGGATAAATGGTTCAAAGATATGAACAGATAACTCTGGGAGGGAGAAATAAAACATTCTTAGCAATCACTTAATTTCTTTATACATCCCCAATAATGAGAGAAATGCAAATTAAAACAACTTTGAGGCACTGCTTGTTACTTGTCAAATTTCAAAGACAGTTAAAAATAAAATTTCATTGTCGCAGAGGCTGTGAGTAAGTAATGTTTGTGGACTGATCACTTGATAGATGCTTTTAGTAAGACAGCACGACATAAATTGTCAGTATTTTTTTTGTTTTTCATTTTGAATTTAATGAACACCAAATAAAACGAGGATTTTCATATACATAATAGAATAAAAAAAGAGAAGAGTGGACATGAAACCATACATTTCTAAGCTGTCCACCTTGCTTTTCTTTTTAACTATATACTAAATTCAACATGTAACTTTCAAAGTTGTCCTGCTTTCTCAGTATTTTTGTACATCACTAATAGAAACCTAAAAAAACTGATAGAAAAAGAAATATGATTGCTAATAATGATAAAATATATTGAATGTATGAGATGTGCACTCAGTTATACTTTTTTTGTGGAACTGTGCATTGTCAGCTTTTTTTTGTTATTAGAAAACAATTTGGTAGTATACAGTAAGAGTCACAAAAGTGATCAAACCCTTTGACCTGGTGTTAGTAGGACCATCACCTGGAGATGTTATTAAAAGGAAAAAAAATCTATTTGTACAAAAATGTTCATTATTGCCTTATTTCTAATGGCCAAAAAATTAGAAACAGCTTGCATATATAATGATTTGGGAATGACTGAGTAAATTGTGGTACACCAAATGGACTGAAATATTGTCATAAAAAAGACAAATATGATACACACAAAGAAACATGGAAAGAATGTTTATACAAAGACCCGGGGAGCCGATACAGTAGAATCAGAACAATATACATTTTAAGTATGATTATATAAATATGACAACAATAAAATCTGAAAGGTACACAGAGGAAAAAAGGATTTGAAAGATGATGCAGAAGCAAATAATTTTACTGTTATTATTTTGTTAGAGTTCATATAGGCATGTGCACATATGTGTATGATATGCACATGCCCCAGACAGATCCAACAGGACTGAGGGCATAAGCTGTGATATTCCAGGAAGAGATCAATGCATAGAAGCCTCTTCCAGATCTGACCCTAGCATCCTTTGTTGATGAATCTACAAGGAGGGAGATTTTAGTTCGACATATGCAAAATAATGTTTGATAGTGGAATAGGCTGTCTAATTAGAGAATTCTTCGTATTTGAAATCTGTGATTAGTGGCTGAGTAACCAGAATTGTCTGGGAGGTTGTGGGGAGAATTCTTCCTGCATCGGGTGAGAAGTTAGAGTAGACGACCCCAGAGGTCCTTTCTAAGTCAGATTTTTCTTTGTCCATATGATGAAATGTTGAATTAGAAATATTACACAGGATCATAGTTCTGGAAGGGACCATAAAGCCTATAGTTAGTCTGATCCTTCTCGTTTTGCAGACAAGGAAACTGAGGCCAAGAAAGTGACTAGAGTCTAAATTCAAACTCAGGTCCTCTTGACTCCAAATCTAGCACCCTTTCCACTGCACCATATTCCTAGATATTTTATAAGTCTCTTTCCATTTAGCAAAAACAAAACAAAACAAAACTAATTAAAGTTGTCTTGCCTGTATTGGAATCATGTTACTCTTAAAAGTGACGTTTTTTCTAAAATATTGTGCTGATTTGGAACTATGTCTAACAAGTTACTAAGTTGTGTGCATGTGTTTTTATGTATATGAATACGAGGCCTACACTCCCAAAGAAATAAAAAATAAAAAGAGGAAAATGATCTATACATACAAAATATTCATAGCAGCTCTTTTTGCAGTAGCCAAAACTAGAAAATGAAGGGGGTATCCTATCGGGGAATGGCTAAAACAAATTATAGGATGTGAACATGATAGAATATTATTGTTCATAAGAAATAACAAAATGGATGGCTTCAGATGAATTCAGATGACTTCTATGGACCAAAACAGAGCAGAACTAGGAGAACAATTTATAGAATGATAACATCATAGAGAAAAACAAAGATTTGGAAGGATTTTAAATTCTGATCACTGTAATGATAAACCACAAATCCAAAAGAATGAAAAGGAAATGTACCATTCACCTCCTGACAGAGAAATGACGAATTTGAAATGCAGAAAGAGGCATGCTTTTTTGGACTTGGCCAAATGGGAATTTCTTTTGCCAGACTACACATATATGTGTTGAAGTCCTCATCATTTTTGAAAAGTTTGCTTAGGTTGGAGAGTGAGAGGGTATCAATGGGAGGGAGAACATAACAAAAGAAAAAAAAACCCAAAATGTTATGTTAGTGACATTTAAAATTTTTAAACAATGTGTGCATATGTGTATGTGTGTGTGTGTGTGTGTGTGTTTTTCCCTGTAAAATTTGCTTCCCAGATTTTGGTGGTGGGCAGGGTGGCTACAAAAACGTTGGAATGGAGCTGTGAAATACTTTGTGCCACTTGGTTGATTTTTCAGGTCTTTCTAACTCTGTATCTTCCGGATTTCCTTTTTCTTTTCTTTTTCTTTTTGGAAAGAAACAAGCATTTATTAAGCACTTACTATGTACTAGACACTGTGCTAAGTGCTTTACAAAAGTCTTATTTGATCCTTACAAAAACTCTGGGAGGTAGGTGCTGTTATTATCCTCTTTTTATAGTTGAAGGAAACAGACAGACAGAGGTTAAATGACTTACCCAGGATCTCTCAACTAGTGAGCATCTGAAAACAGATTTAAGCCCAGGTAAGACTTGACAAAAATTCTATTGTTTATTTTGCTTTAGTGGCAATCTGTTGGGGGTGGGGAAATGGGTGGGGGAATGACAAGTATCTTTCACAGGCAAAGGCTTATAAGCTATCTCTTTCTTTTTTTGAAGTCAAGCAAAGCATATTTCCATGTTGGCCATGTGACCAAAAAACCCAAGAAAAATAAAGTATGTTTAAAAAAATAGGATTATAGATTTAGAACTGGAAAGAACTTTAGATGCCAAAAAATCTAACCTCCTCATTTTACTGATGAGGAAACTAGGTACTACAAAAGTGAAATGACTTGTCCAAAATCACACAACTTGTAATAAGCAGGGTTCAAAACCAGGTCTTCTGTCTTCAACGCTGGCTCACACCGTGAGTCTCTTTTCCCACCAAACCTATCTCCAGTTTAGCTTAGTTATACTAATCTGGTTACTACAATATGAGGCTTATTTGTAGAAGAGAATTGAGGAAAAAAAGAAGATTGTGACATCTAATTACTAGCATAGAAATTCCGAGCACATCTTTCCTCCACTTACCTAGCCACTCTTCCACGGAGATCTCCCATTCCATGAAGCTGGTTCTGGTTAAAACTCTGGGAAGCAAAATTACTTCCGGTTGCTGCATTGTCCCGGGCCCTTATTTGTTCTTCTAGAATCTGCGAATTTTGAGTTAAAATCTTCTTTAATACATACATACATACATACATACATGCATGCATACATACATATATATGTATATATATGTGTGTATATATATATTTGTTTTTCATGCCGCAGGGAGAGCATTATTTGTCAGCTATGCTTTAGATTCTTGTTCAGGCATATTGTTGTTTAGTTGTTTCAGTTGTATCCCTTTCTTCATGACCCCATTTGGGGCCTTCTTGGCAGAGATACTGGAGTGGTTTGCCATTCCTTTCTCCAGCTCATTTTACAGGTGAGGAAACTGAGGCAAGCAGGGTTAAGTGACTTGCCCAGGGTCTAGTGTCTGAGAATGGATTTGAATTCTGGTCTTCCTGACTTTAGGCCTACTGCCTTGTTCAGGTATGGGTTGGCCTAAATTGCTTCCAGGGTGCTTTCTGTTATCAGTTGGGTGGCCTGTTTAGGCAATATAGTTTTTTGTTTTGTTTTGTTTTGTTTTGCAATATAGTTTTAATAAGAAAAATCACCATGATAAGGAGGATAGAGGTTGCTTGAAATGAGCCCACAGTGGGTGAGCTGCATACTAAGACTTGCATCCAACTATAGACAAGCAAGTATTTTATCTCATAATACACAAAATATTAAATAAAGAAGAATAATAGCAAGATAGTGACTTATCCCAGGCTTTCTCATCTTTGAAAAGATAAGAATGAGAAAACAGTAACAATAATTGACATTTATATAGTTTTAAACTTTGAAAAGCACTTTGGCATATTATCTCATTTAATCCTCTCACCAACCTTGTGAGGTATTATTGGACTTGTTTTTAAAGATGAGGAAACTGAGGCTCAGAGAGGTTAAGCCACTTGCCAAAGATCATATAGCTAGTAAGTAATGTTAAAGGTGGGATTTGAGTCAAATCATTGCAACTCAGTTCCCGACATTATTTATTCTTTTACACTGTAGGCCCATTCTTAAATCTATTATACATTCTAAATATTGATTTAAAAAATGGTGGAGAGCACTGGATTTAGAGCCAGAAATGTGGGTTTGAATCCTGGGTCTAATATTTACCAACTGTGCAACCATGGGCAAGTCATCTAACCTTTCTGCACTTCAGTTTTCTTATCTATAAAACCTTCATTTTGCAGATAAGGGAACTGAGGCTCAGACTGCCTCCATACCCTAGGTCACAGGGTTGTTAAGGGGATCAATTAATGCAAACCAGTTTGTAACCTTTTAATGTTTTAAAACTTCAGTGAATCTGTGACCTAATTACTGTGAGCATAGGTATATATTGAACTATGTACCTATTGGTACATATGTCCATAGGGACAGATCTCAATTCATTCATGCCTTCTCATCCTTCTTAATTCCTGTATGTTCTCTCAAAGATCGTCTCCAGATTATCTACTCAACTTTTCTCTAGCCTGCTTTACATTTATTTCACAGGTACTGGGGTTGTGCTTAGGGTTACTACCTGTCATATCTGGCCTCAGACATTTACTAGCCGTGTGACTCCAAGCAAGTCACTTACATTGTGTCTACCTTACTTTCCTCAATTGTAAAATACGGATCATAATATCACCTACTTTGTAGGGTTCTTGCAAGGATAAAATGAGATAATATTTGTAAAGTGCTTGGCACAATGCCTGGCACATTGTAAGTACTAAAGAAATGTTTGGGGGCAGCTAGGTGGTGCAGTGGATAGAGCACGGGTCCTGAAGTCAGGAGGGCCTAAGTTCATATCTGGCCTCAGACCAAACACTTGACACTTACTAGCTGTGTGATCCTGGGCAAGTCACTTAACCCCAGTTGACAAAAAAAAGAAAAGAAATGTTTGTTCTTTTCCTCAACCCTTACAATGAAAAGCTCATTTTTGCATGTATGTCATTATCAGAAATACACTACAGCCACCATGTATTTTTCCTTCGCCTTTTGGGGTGAGTGTTAGCTTTGGACATTGAATGGAGCTTACTTCATGGAGAGCAGGAAATGTTTCTTTTGTGGACTTGTATCTTTAACACCTAGTCCAGTACTTTGCATATAGTAGGTGCTTAATAATTTGTTGAATTAATTCTTTGGAGATTGTGGTGCTCTAGCTAGACATTTCTCTGATAATATCCTTTACACTGTCTCTGCATAAGGTATCCCAGCCCTCTCTTGCCCACCATGTGCCCATTTATGGGTAATCTTCAATAATACTTTTTCAGAGATGACAGTATTCCATCACTCAAAGCTACACAATATCACTGGAATAATATTGATTTTTTTTAATGAGCCTTTGTTTCCAGGAGAAGCTAGGGTTCATTAAAAGAACTGTTCAATTTTCTAAAAGCAATCCAGTCTACTTTCCCCTTCTGTTCCATTATGAACCCTATAGGGGAGCAGGGGGACAGGAATGAGACTGGTGGGCTGCCCTCGATCTTAAAATCTCTCTGGGCGCAAGGGGAGGAGGAGAACTGAAAAGGTGCAATTTATCCACATTCCAATAACAGGACTCCAGACACTTCCTAGCTCTGACTCTTACTGATTAAGTGTCTCTGTGGGACTTACCTCACTGTCACTCTAACTATTCAAGCCTAGCTCAGATTGGGAAGGGAACCAGGACAGAAGGACCCAAGAAACAATGCCCCAGTATCTTGACTGAAGCAGAGCTCTAAAGGGACTCCTGCATCAATCCAGTGCATCTTCAGTGCCTACTGGTAACCTCTGTGTGGCCAGGAGATCACTGGGGGAAGAAGTCCCAAGGCTCCACACTCTTTGAGAGTAGGGACCACCTTGCTTTTCTCATCTTTCCTCCCTTCTCTTTCATGACACTGTTCTTTTTCTGGTTGACTTACTTATCTGGCCACTTCTCAGTCTCCTCTGGTGGATAATCAATTATATCTTACCTCCTGATCAAGAGGATCTCTCCCAGGGTTCTTTCCTGAGTTTTTTTCTTTTGCCCCTACACATTCTACATCATGTCACAAGGTCCCACGGCTCAACCATCACCTCTTTGCAGATAGCCCCAGATCCATTTACCAACCTCTGATGTCTCTCTTGAGATCTAGTCTCTCATTGTTAATTGACTAGATATTTCAAATTGGATGTCATCAAACTCAGTATGTCTAAGATACAACTCATTGTCTTCTCTCTTCTTTCCCATCCTAACCCACCCCTAATACAAACTTCACTATTTCTGTCAAGGACTATCCTTTCATTCACCTACATTCACAATCTCATTGTCTTTCTCAAGTTTTCCATTTCACTCATCTGCCATATCCCATTAATTTCCAAGTCTTATCAATTCTACCTCTACAACATCTGTCCCTTCCTTACCCTTCTTTCTACTCACTGACCTACGACCTTCGTGTCCTATTGCAACAGCTTCTTAATTATATCTCTGACTTTGGCCCCTCTCTTTTCTTCAAATCATCCTCTATAAAATAATCTTCCTAAAATACAAGTCTGACCATGTTGCTCCCCTGCTCTTTGATCAAGTCATTCCCCTGTTCAAGAATCTTTAATGGCCCCATATTTTCTCTAGGATAAAATATAAACTCAGCTTTGCACTTAAAAACCTTCACAGAATGGCTCCTGTCTCCTGACTTATTTCACATTCCTTCCTTCATACACTGCTTTCAGACAATTGGCCTTTCTGCTGCTCCACAAACACAACATTCCATCTACTGCTTCGATGTCTTTGTACAGGTCAACTCCCTTTCCAGAAGGTAGAATCTCTCATCAGAAAATATTGAACTCATGTGCTCCTTTCAATATGAAGTTTTTCCCAATTCTCCATTTTTGTTAGTATTCTAGCCCTCATCAAATGGTATGGTATTGATTTCTCTGTTTGAATGATGCATCCTCCAGTTAGTTTTTGTATTTTCAATACATAGTACAGTTTTACATATGGTAGGCAGTTAATGAGTACTTATAAATGCTAGGTGGATTGGATTGGGAGCTACCATTAGAATGTGAGCTCCTTGAAAGCATGGATCACATTTTTTGTTTTATTTTGTTTTGTTTTCTTTGTATCTCTAGAGCAGGGGTGGGGAACCTGTGGCCTTGAGGCCACATGTGTCCCTGTAGGGCCTCAAATGTGGCCCTTTGACTGAATCCAAACTTCACAGAACAAATCCCCTTAATAAAAGAATTTGTTCTGTAAAACTTGGACTCAGTCAAAAGACCACACCAAGGATCTAGAGGACCACCTATGACCTCCAGGCCTCAGGTTCCCCACCCCTGGTCTAGAACTTAGCATAGTGCCTGGAGCACTATGTGCTTAATAAGTATTTGTTGACTGTCTGATTGACCAGCAGAAGATCCTTTCGAGTAGGCTATCTCCACTTACTCCTCCCTCCTCACGTAGTTTCTGTTTCCACCTACCTCCCCACATTTTTTTGCCTTTCCCAGATGAATAGCTCTGCTCAATGTGCCATCTTCCAGAAGGATTTCCCTGAGCCTTAGCAGCGGAGTCTTTTTAATCTGAGGCAGTCTCTCATTTGGCCTTGGTGGCCCATACCTGAGATATCCTGAGCAAAATTATCCAAAATTCAGCCCTGACCTGACAACCTTTCCTGGGTTCTTTCTACCTGATCTCATAGACCTTATAAAATAGTAACAGTATGGATTGAAAGTCGAGGTCAAGTTAAGGCAATGAGCATACATTAAGTGCTTACTAGGTGCCAGGCACTATGCTGTAAGTACAAATATAAATGGAAAAGATAAAAAGACAATCTCTACTATGCTAGACAGTAGATTGAATTACACAATTGTATTGCAGTGTTTATATGAAAAACACTTGCAGCATATACCTGTACAACCTCTGTGGATTGGATGAAAAAGACTATCCATATTTAGGAGAGCTTGAGATTCCCTGGGAAAGTCACGTATGTCATTAAGGTATACACTGTGGCTCTACTATGTTCACACTATGGGGTGTGCTAAATGAGCAGCACTAACATTCTACATATTTAGATAGAGCTTTCACTGAAAAGGAGCTAGATTAGTTTAGCACAGTACTTAGTGC